CAAATCATTCAGGGGAATCCAAACATGTACCTGGCTACGTACGTAAAAGCATTCTATGTCCCCCTAATGCAATATAGGCTCGTCCAGAGTCGGCGCCAGCGAGATTCGAAAGCCAACTGTTTAGTCAAAACCCAAGCAGTTGGCCAATTCGCTAGCGAGTTTGCAAATTGGCTGCCCCAATACTTCTGAGACTTGCTGTTAAATGGCCTTATTTTTACTGATTTAATGATATATAAACATACTGTAAAATACTTTATTTTCGCTGAAGGAATGATTCAATGAAAATAAAATCCAGCGAATATACATCTTTTCCTATATTTTATATTCAACTTGTCAAAAATAAATTCCATACAAAACACCCAAAAAGTCTTTTCAGCGAAAATTAATTCCAGCTAAAATAAAGCATTTTACAGTATCCTATAGTAACATTTTGCTTACTTGTCAAGAGCTTTGGCTGCTTCATGCAAACCCCTTGCAAGACCGTCATGAATCAATGCAGTTTTCAGTACTTCTTGCAGAGCTGTGTTAACATCCATTGGACCACCAACAGCGGCGGCGGCGGCTGGGGTTGCAGCGGGCTTACCATCTCTGAGACGCAAAATATATTATAGCATGAGAAAGGACAAATGCTAGAGGATTCAGCTGGCATGAGCAGAGTATTGTGAAAAATTTGTATAATTAGTGTATTCAGCTTGTGTCGACAGTATGTGCTAGTCAATATATTTATTATTTTATTTTATTTTCATTTCTCAAAAGAAATATAATCCCTGACCCTCCCCACCTTGGGGTATGTGGGGACTAGAGTTGTTAAATACATTATGCCCCTCCCTTGTTATCCCCACCCTACTCTACTGTCCCCATGTTTTTATCCAGATGGGAAATTTCAGGAGAAAATGTCTCAACGTTATCCACATACTTGCCCCACATATCACCAAAAGCTGAGTGTGTGTGGTGATCACATAGTAATTTTGGTACGTGAAAAGACTGAGGACTGAACAGTTACAAAGTGCTTATAATCCAATTTACAGGTAAACTATGATGAATCAATTCAGTGCAACACATGCACTCTTTTAGTTAACTTTATCAATGCGACCCCAAATTGCTTGTTCAACAACCTTTCTAGCCTAGAAGGCTCAACTATAGTTACTCAATGAATAGCAACATACCAAAGTATGGAAACTCTCCAAGTACACCACCACCAGGTGTGTGTACACAGGTGGGCTACATGTCAAGCATAACTATAATAGCACACATACGCACATTTTGAACCAGAACAATTCTTTTCAAAAATTTGACATTCCACGTTTAAGTTGCATGATTTATGGAGTTTCGCATATTAGTGAGGGGCCGATTCAGTGAATGACCTCCACAACTTGAACAAGCTCAATTTTAAAACGCTCATATGACACCAATATCACATCTGTTTTAAATCTAAACGAAGTTTCATATAAATGTGCATATTGTCATAATGACTGTTACTAACCAGTGTGATATTGCCGTCAATAAAATCATGGAAGGTAGTAGGAGTAAAACCCACGTGGGTTGATACGGGTAAACTCCAGTGAAGTAACCGGCATGTTGGCCATTTTTACTTACCCTTCCGCGTCAGACATTATGAAGCGGACGTCCTCGCTATGAAAAAAATAAGTAAAAATATAGACATCAGACTAATCTAAGATTATTCAACAACATTTTAAAATCGAAATAAGAGACAAAGAATTTATTCTGAAAGCAGATTATGGGCGATTTTCTATGCAACCATACTCACATCGATTACCCGGAAAAACAAATTCGCAAAGGACTTCAAAATGGTTGTTCGCAGTGCAAGTTGGGTAATGGAAGGTACTAACTTAAATTAAGGGTGAATATAACAAGAATCTTGACACGGACCTCATAAATATATAATTAATTTGTAAAAAAAATCAATTTAATCATTTTGACACTAATATTATAAGCTTATGAATGCACAGCAGAGAAGAACACAATGTCATCAGTTAATCTGTAACAAACATAATCCGTTTAAAATAGTGTACCCCTATTTGTGGTTTGAATAGATTCGTCTTATTACATATTCATTATTTTCCTTATTTGGAAGTAATTATTTGAGGGCTTTGTAAACGCCATATTGAATTTGACCGATTGATCTGAGGTGTATCGTGTGTGCAAAAACACGAGTACTTTTCAAATTCTCCTTGCGTACCCCTTGGGTTTTTGTAACGTGGATTCAAACTATTTCAGTATCACAAGACATTGACATTATTCAACGAGGGTGTGGGATCCTAAAAGAGTGAGTAGATTTCTCATTTCCATCATTTAAGTAAATGAGCTTCGTGATCGCTGACCGAGTTGTGTTAAAACTTTTTTTTCATTCCCAAGTTATGTACACGGTCGTTGATCGTGTGTATGTCCTGTACTCACAGACTACGTTTTATCTTTGCTCTGCGCGTAATTGTATATTGTGTTGCGTGTGCTAGCAGACGGTACTTTGAGAGGTGGCATTTGTGTGTGTAACAAGACGTCGGCACTTCTCAATTTCTCTGGCGCCGAGTGTGCGAGAATGTAAGGAGGCGTCCGTCCCCAGTTCCCCTCTTACAGGCGCGTAGCGGTTGTCTTCTTCCCTTGTGGTTACGTCATTTTAATAACGTTGTTTTAAGTCTCATAACTGTTTGTCTAGACGATTTTAGCAGCATATCTTTAATATATTACACTACACTCGTGTACACGTATACGTATACCTTCAGAGTCGCGAGTCCAATCATAGAGCTTTCAAGTGAACACTCTGTTCACCTCGGGCTCGACGAGGAATCATTTACTTTTCCACCGAGTGTCATTTGAAAACAGAATTAATAAAGTGGACCCGAAAACGATTTCCATTTCCTGTTCCTGTGTACTGACCAAAAAATGGGAGGTGCCGTTGTATGGTAAACCGATAAACAACTGCAGTAGCTCGTTATCATATCAAAGTCTGTCTTACAAATGGAATAAAAAATTGAAATAAATACGAAAAAGTAAACAAATCTCTACAGATGTTTTGTTTCAAACCCTTCTTGTTTATTTTATATTGGAAAGCAATACCATAGTATATGGGCAAGTACTTTGAATAGTGAAGTCTAGTGTATCATCCCAGTACTCCCTCTGCTATTAAACTCACTGTTGAAAATTAATGAGCTCAATTCCATTGTTCCAACAAAAAAAAACTTATAGAAAAAATAAATAAAATACGAATAAAATAGATTTGAATTTTTAAAAGTGAATTTTCACTTTAATTATCTGAACTGTATTAAACACAAAATTGTTAACATTTCTAAAGTAACTTTAATAATGAGTCAAAGTAAATCCACACTAATATATTTCTAAATACTTCCTCATGCAGTCATCATATCCTGTTTAGTTTAAATTTTTATTGTAGTGTTTGTAAAACAGAATAATATTTACACTCTGTGGTTACTTGGAAGGGAGACCAGGGTTGCCTTGTATGTTGCTATGAGCATATTATCAATTTACAGGCCCCTGAACAAATTTGTTAGGTTTCTGGATATTGTGTAAACATTTTGTCATGTCACAGCTATTTTTATTTTTAAGTTCAGGTAATATTATTTTGATTTGGTTACAAATGTGAAAAAAAGTAACTAAGCCCTTGTATTAGTACAATAGAGCATTCTGATTGGTTAATAACAGACTTTGTCTTGACCAGTTAAAAAACATCATGGTGGAAATTGTTTTGCGTCAAGAGTCTCTGTATGATCGAAAAAATCCCACGATGAAAATAATAAAGATATTTTCTTGGTCTATTTTTCCACAGATCTTAGTTACAGCATGAATTCAGATGGTATGTAAATAATATTGTAATAAAATGTGTGTATTTTTTGGGAAAATTTGTTTCTTCACTGTGAAGATGTGGAAATCAATGACTGCGTACAATTAAATTTCTCCCAAAAAGATATACCGGTAATAATGGTCACGGAACAGAAATTGTCATTTGGTTTATTGTGTAACATAGTTACAACTTTGAGTGCTAAAGTAGTCTTTTTATCACCATTAAAAAAATTACTAAGCATATTTTTTCAAAAAATTGTATCAAACCTTAGGCTATAGACAATGCAAAATACATAAATATTGTGTATAATTTTGCACCGGAATTGTGTAAGGAAAAATTCTAGTGCTCAAAAGTTAAGCTTTTCACAACCAGTTCCCTCTTTTCATCACAAAATAGTTCTACATGTATGTATATATAGTCTGAACTTTCCTTCAGAGGTCATACCCACATTTTTTGAGTAAAAACTAAAAATTTACTCAAATTTTGTCTGTTCGTTTAAAAACTAGGGTTTAATTCCAGAAATATTGAAAAATATAATAAAAAAGGGCAGAAAAATTTGAACGAGAAAGTCTGGTGGTAAAAAGGTTAACCAGTCTTGAAAAATCGTAAAATTTTGTAGCCTTACAGGTCACATTTCTGTTGGTTTTTACTTTTGTGACATATTTTATTCACACATTACACCGGCATTTCTACATATGTAGTGATAAAAATATGAGTTTCCGGTATTAATAAAAACTACTGTTATTATCATCGCAGTTTCACTTAAAAAAAAGTGGTTTAAAAATGTCAGTGAATTGGTTATATGGATTCAACTGTATCACAGTGATTGGTCCAAATCAATAGTTCTTTAGGTAGCAAGGTGCTTTATTTTGCTCATCATTGTATGTTGAGAATTTAATCCAAGGTGTGTTATTATATTCACTATAATAATATCCATTGTTCAATTTGCGATTGTAATGCAGCCATCTTATTAGAAATATAATAAAAAAAATGTTCCTTCAGTTTTGACTCGGCAGTGAATTTAAGTGGATATAATAGTACAGGAAAATGAACAGACAGTATTTTCTTTGTATTCGTTATTTAGTATACATACATATATACATTTATTTATCATTTTGGCGACCAGCTGTGTTGCCATCCATGTCTGCTTCCAGACAGATTTCTTGTTTTTTAAAATTTAGTCCATTGTTGTTGATATTCACATTGGTATCAATACCCCCTTCTCAATAGCAAGATTCTTATCTTACAATTCAGATCCAGTCAACCGTGAGAAACCCTTTGAGTGCCAGAGCCAACTTTCGTCACAGTTTGCAAAATTAAACATACAAAATATTTTTCATTTTTTTTCTAGGATTTTGATCAAGGATTGTAGTCAATGGGAAATTATGTGTATTTGGTCCAAAATAAACAAAGAATTGCTAGAAAAATATCTAAAAAATGTGGCACTAAATTTGTGCCAGAAAAAATGATGGTGTAACGCCGCGTTTAAAGTATTAAAATGACTTTTAGTGGTGCTCATAATATTGAAAATACATGTACATCAAAAAGGTGAACTCTTATGTCCTGTTGCTTTATTTATCGTTATAAAAAACAGTAGTCATTCCTCCTTCATGGTGCCAAACTGTACTCTTGAGTTCTTTACCCTTTGTATTGGATTACGTTTAAGCAACCATCGGTCAGCCATGTTTTTTTTTTTCACAAGAGAGTGAAAATTCATAGATTGTACTTGTACGTGCTCAACTCATTTCAATAAGTTCTGAATATGATATACATATAGAAAGTGTTGGCATGATATTACAGCAATGTTTGGTTGAGAATGTCACAGCTTTAATAAGGACAACTCTCTGAACTTTTGCTTCATGTTTTTAACATTTTATGAATCATGAAATGTCAATGAAGCACATAGTTGTGATTTTTAATATTTTTCACAGGTTTGTCTTCTTCCATGATAAAAAGTTACTTTCGCTCTCTAAGATAAGTGTGAATTGATGTATGTTTCACCTGTCATGACACTTTTTTTTATATCTCATTTTCCGTATATCAGTATTGATGTGGAATCATATTTGTATTAACATTAATATTTTGTATTATTAATTTCTTTTTGTATTTTTTGTATGCTTTTTAGATTCCATACTTTATCCAAAGATATTTCAGTTCTGTATTAGAGAATTGTTGTTACTTCAATTAATTTGAGTTCAATGAGCTCTGCTAATCAGTCGTACCCAGTATCGACTCTCACCATCATGGCTATTCTTTGTTTAGTCAAATCTCAGATTACATCCATTGAACATAACAAGTATTGTTCAGTTTAAGTTCCTGACTGAAGGAGTGCTATATTATTCTTAACCTTTGGTAATACGGTAATGACTATTGACTGGTTTCAAAAACATAATGGGACCCACTCTCAAATTCATAGCACACCAAGAAATACAATATTTGTTAAAGACACAAGTTTTCTCAAGTACATTTGATTTGACTGAATGAGTTCAAACAGTCTGCTATTATTGTATTCAAAAGTCAGGAAAATAGGTGATTTTCCGGACAATTGCGAGATCTCGCGAGATGCATGAAAGACGCGCGTCGGACGTCTGCCGCAAAAATCAAACGATTTGATTTTGAACTCAAATTTATTTATTTCGTAGCTCACTACGACCGGCTGATCTTCGACAGAGGAATAGTGCTTCCGAATACCCTTACTTAATCGAAATTGTCTATCATCCAATGTGGACAGCACATTATTAAGCATGGAAATGTCCCCCAAAATACTTTCGCGTTTGTCGAATCCCATGCAATGTTTGACGCCACTACGACGCTATGACCTTTGTTTGTCCTGTTTTTACGTTCGATTTCACACATAACGCATGATTCTCGCAGTGAACGGAAAATGGTCTATTAGCCGAGTTTAAGTCTTTGAACCTAAAGTCACCTTTCATCATCTTTGTCAAAATAAACAAGCATGATACCCGTATTATTTTTTCTCTGTTTTTTTTATCAAGATCTTTAGC